TGGGTTTATGACCAACTACAGAACATCCACCTCATTATAAAATGTTACATATAACTTACTTTTCAAATAATTTTCTGTTTTCCATGTATTTATTAAAAATACAAGTTCTACAAGAGCAGTGGTATTCTGTGTCTTCCAGATTATATCACAACATTGCTCAATACACCGCAAATGCTCAGTATTACAGCATGAATTCATAGGAACAAAAACCATCTAAAATGCCAACTCCACTCAACACATCAATGCTAACAATATAGTTCTTGTCCAGTGCCTACTATGTGTCAGACACTATCTTAACTACCTTGTAGGAGTTACTTAGTTTGCTTCACACATTAGCTTGAAAGATGCTGCTATATCAGTCCCATTGCATGCATAGGAATGATAGATATAAGAATGCCAAACTTCAAAAGACAAATGACAAGTAATATGAAATTACAGGACCATCAGGTCGATTCCACAGCTTACACTCTCATCTATAATAACATACAACTTAAAGGTTATTTTTTCCTCCTAGCAAAAGAGTCATTCTAATGGTATAGATTAAAGAGAAACCAAAACATATTCATTTAACTGAAAAAAGTAGTTTCTTTCTTTCCTTTTTCTTTCCTCCATTATTATTATTATTATTTGTAAGTGAGGTCTCACTGAATAGACCTGGCTGCTGACCTGGGACTTCCGGTGTAAACAAGGCTGACCTCAGATTCACAGACATCCACCTGCCTCTGTCGCCTGAGTGCTGTGATTAAAGGTGTCTTCCAGCACTGCTGGCCTGACAAGTCTCAAATTATATCCTTTTACATGTCCAATGAAGGCAAGTTCCTGTAAAAAAAAACAAGCAAAACTAACACAACAGTCCTTTCTGTATACCCTGAACATCACCTCAGGAGGGTGTGCTTGAGTACCCTCTCATGAGGAGACTTTCAGAATTTCCTCCCTCTGTGTTTTCAACCACCTCCCTTGGCCAGGGAACCCCGTAAATAGGAAGTTGGGAAGAATAGTAACACCTAAAAGAGGGTGGGGTAATCTGCAGGGACAAGGCCATTGCCTGATCTGGGAGGGCAGCACCTGGTCAGAGAGAAGGTAGATGACACAGAGAAGTGGCAGGACGTAGACCTTACCAACAAGCTGCAGGTAGGACGAAAGAGGGAAAGAGGACTAGCAAGTGGCTGTTGGGGAAGTTTCCAGGAAGAACAACACTGAGAATCTGAGGAGAATGAGATGGAGAAGTGTGTTTTTACCATGAGATCTTCCTGAAATGCTGTCAAATTTCCCTGCCTCATGGATGTAATAAAGACAATCCCCGACATGTAAAAAATCTCACAGCAATGTGGCTTCCATGCTACCCTTGACAGGAAGGAAGCTTCTGAAGATCAACTCTGCCAACATGAGGCAAAGGTGGGGGAGAATCATAAAAATATTCACGAATTCTTGGGAAGAAGAGCTTCAACGGTGGGAATGAGGGCAAAGTCCCGACTGGAGCAGGTTCAAAGGTTTCAGGAGTGACTTCTTCAGCAGGGAAACCTGATGGAAACTAAATACAGTTTTACATTTTGAGAAGGGATTTATCTAACAAAGAGAGAACTTGGCAATTGAGTGGATTCAGCTGTGTAAACTTTGAAACAAAAACATTTCATCTAGAGTAATCAAAAATTACTTGAGAAAAAGAAAAAGTAGTCAAGGTTCAGTGGGAACAGACTTACACGCTGTCAGATGCATACGTCAGGCAGTCATCCAAATGTAAGTGTTTCTATGAAAAGTAAGGGAGGTAGAGAATAGACTAGGACATGGTCCTTGTGAGTAGAGCAATGCCATGAGAGGCTCATTTTCACTAGCTGCAAACCAAGAAATAGCAACTGAGGCAGAAAACCGATAGGCATCCTAATCACTTAGAGATTTGGAAACAAAGGAAAATAGAAGCACATTTGACCCTGAGCAAAGGAAAGGTGAGTGTGTGTTTGTGCGTGTGTGTGTGCGCGCGCGTGTGCATCTATGCGTGTGTGTGTGTGCATGTGTGTGTGTGTGTGTGCGCGCACGTATCTGTGTGTCTATCTGTGTGGTGTATGCCATGTTCATGTGCATATATGTGTTGGAAGTGATGATGTAATAAATACTACATTAAAGGAAACCTTATTAAGTTGTTTGAAGTTGAAAAAAATACATACAACCTCTAGTTTTGAAAGACACTAAAATTTGAAACTAAGCAAGAGAAGGGCCTCATCTAAGATACAAACATAATTTTATTCAAGTGTTAATTTTGAAGGAAAATATGAAATATGAGTCATAATGCAGGCAAAGAAAGTTGAGCTAGCAAAGAGGGTATTGACTTAATCATCTGTTTTATCAAGAAAGGAGCAGATATCTTCAGAAGAAAGCCAAACAGTTGAGTCTTGGAAAATGAAGGGAATGTGACACAACTTTAGAAATTCCCTCCTGTTGTGTGTAGAGTCAAGCAGGTATAAACCATTGAGACCTGCCAAGTTCAAATGTCTAGTTTTCTGTAGCAGTCTCAGTCAATGGACAGACTCAGGGTCTTACTACTAGTGGGAAATGAAGTTACGCTAAATTGTGGAAGAGATCCTAGGTTCTTCTCATAGCTCAGTGGCTAGAAGGCAAATGAATCAGATGTGTGGAAGGCGTAGGAGAAAGGAGAAATCAAGGAACTGGATGGAGTTCACTTAAGAAAAAGAGTCCAGTGAAACCAGTGTTTATCCCTAGTGCGCAAATGGACTTTGGGAGCCCACTCCCTGTGTAGGGATACTCTCTCAACCCAGATACATGGGGGAGGGTCTAGGTCCTGCTCCAAATGATGTGACAGACTTTGATGATATACCATGGGAGTCCTCACCCCCTCTGAGGAGTGGATGGCGGTTGGGATGGGGGTGGTGGGGGAAATGGGTGGGAGAAAAGGGAACTACTGGGATTGGTATCTAAAATAAGAACTGTTTTTAATTTAAATAAAAATTAATTTAAAAAACAGAAAAAGAGTCAGGGGGCCATAGGACCAATGAGGACCAATGTCCCAGTCAAAGCGCAGCGCTAACATTGGAGAAACTCCTTAGAGATAGTAAGTCTGTGCAGTGCCCGGGGATTGTCAGCAACAGGGTAGAGTGCAGAGTGCGTATCAGGTGGTTCAGGCGCATCACAGATGGGAAGACATACAGCGAACCAAGAGGGCAGCCACAATGCTGAATGTGTCACCCCAGATCTGGACTGAGGCATGGGCTCCTGAGCTGCCATTGTGCTGTGAATTCTTACCATGCAGCAGGCATGAAATCAAAGCACGTGACTTCTGAAACATGGAGATAAATTAGTGAGGAAAATTGAGTCTTTGTTAGGCAATTTTGCTTAATGATTAGAGTGTGCTCTAAATAAACAGAACAACAAATTGATTGCCAAAAACTCTTTTAATTCATAAGGGTTAAGCACATAAAAGTCAGGATATTAAAAGTTAAATTTCTCGTTGAAACATTAATTTGACAACAAATTATGCATATTAGGTGTGGGAGGTTTATATTTTATAGCATAAAAGCTACAGGAAATACTGCACAAGGTAGCTTAATTAAATTATATAAAATAACAAACTCAGGACCAAGTCATTAAAGCATGATTAAAAAAATTGTTTTGCAACCCCCCAAAAAAGGGTTATAAATCTTAACTCTAGAAAAAAATGCATTTCAACTTAAAACAAATAGGAATTATTTTTACCTCATCAATTTCCATAGCATACGCAGTATGTGTTCTTGACCTTCGTTGATAGCACTCACTTGCAGTTCAGATTTGATCCTAATAGACCAAAAACACAAGTAACTGACTACTCTCATGACAAAGCTAATAAAGGTTTAAAATTCAAAGAATCAAAATAAAATGAATTGAAGGTGGTTTTTCTATAAAGTAGAGCACATAGGGAATATTTAAAATATAAAAATGCCTGCCAGCATACCACTTCATTTTTGCATTTTCTCTATAACTGTTTATCTATTTGTATGTGTGATTATGTAAACTTCAAACTTGACCATATGCTATATGTAGGTAATAAAGGAAGAGGAAGGGGCATTGCTGGCCTTCACTGTCTCTCTATATGTACTTCCCTTTCTGATCTGCACAGCAAGCCTGGAATGCTGTGTGTGCTCAGGACAGCATCTGGTGGTCTTATCCACGTGGCCCTCTGTAGCTCCATTCCCTCTGTCAGGGATATAGTGACCAAGACCACTGTCCACTATGGTAACCCTGGGGAAAGTGCTACCTCCCACCCTAGTCAGAAGTAGATCAGTAATAAAAGAAGAAATGCGGGCCATATAGGGAAACGTTGAAAAGAATGTTCTTCTATTAGCTTATACGTCATATTACAACCATCACAATTACTAATGCAACTTTAATTGCCAGTCAGTTCCCTTCATCATTAAATTTGAAGTACTCCTACATGTTTTGTGACCCTTTAGATTAAGTATGTAAATGTATATTATTTTGGTGCAAAATAGCCAACACCATCTGAAGCATCCACACCCCCAAAGGAGTCAAGTCAGAAGAGAGCACATAAAACAAAACAATACAAAACAAAACAAAACAAAACAACTGATGTTTGCTTAAGCTTGTACTTTCCATTGGATCAAAAGACAGCAGCCTACAGAACAACACACGTCCATTCACGGGAATGAAGCAAGCAAATTCCTGAGTATGTAGACTCTTGACCCACTATTCAGCCCACCTCTTCCAAAAGGACACAATGGGCTGCAGTCTTCACCGAAAAAAACCTATTCAGCCACATTCCGTGACAATGAACTCCATGTAAGCTTAACAGAAAAAAAAGGCTTTGTCCATTTATTTTAATCTTTCCCCCCTTCTTTTGCTATTTCCAAACAAACAGAAGGACACACACAAACTGCCATCCCCACAGGACGAACAAACAAGTGTTATTGAATATTCAAAAGTATAGTGGTATTTCTAAAGTTCAGCAACACGAGGCTTAGACTGTTCCTTTTGTCTTAATTCTTCTTACCCAGGCACCACAAGGCCACATAAGGAGGGGGAGGTCCCTGGAGTGGACTACATTTTCATAACCGTTGAAGATTTTATGGAATTGGAGAAAAGTGGTGCTCTCCTCGAAAGTGGGACCTATGAAGGTAAGTACAGTATCTCGGTAAAATTTGGTGCCTGTTGTGTTGTGTGACTGAAGAGCATCAGACAGCATATAACAAATACACTGCTGATTTGCGCCAGAGAGCTTTAATCAAATAATTTCAGAAGCATGATAAGACATATGTGAACTATTAATCCTGCTATTAAATTGAACAGAAATACGTGTCTACCTACTAGCGCATAGCTCTGTGATTGCTTCCTGAAGCTCAGCTAAGGTCATGCAGAGAAAATGTGTTTTGGCGGCATGCAAGAGAGGCCAGGGTAGAGTTCCAGCCTGTCACTGTTTATGTGGCTTTCTCGTGTGTCTGAGCTCCACAGGTCGTCACTTACCTTCCATGCAAAATCATGAGATGGGAAAATAGGATTTATAGGTGAATTCCAAATTCTACTGTAGACTCAGGTCTCCTTGTGCGCTTGAGTCAAATAGGAACAAAGTCTGAGACCCAAACAGAAGTCCAGAAAGATGTCTCACTACAAAGGACCCTGAAACATGAGCCAGAATGCGCCTGAGTTCCAAACCCAACTCTACCCACCTTCTATAAATAAGTCATATTGGTGAAACTTCATTTTTCTATTTATAAAAAAGATAGTGATAGCTTTGAGAAACACCAATAAGTAGTATGTTGATATGGTCATATTGTGCATGCATGTTTACATGTATCTAGTTTATGTTTGATGAAGCTTTATGTTGGGCGCAATACAATAATATTGTAAACCAATATAAAAGCAGAAACACATTTCCTTTTTGTTGCATATTTAAAATGCATTATTAGTCAGTCTGAAGATGAAACCAGTTTTACTGTGCTTCAGCTAATATTTATTGCTCAATAATAGTAGTAAAACTCCCATTAGATGCATGACTGCTTAGCTAGCCCATCCTACACCCAAGTTCCACCAATCACCACTAAAGAAGCCAGGTTGCCATGTAACCAGGGGCCGTCTGCTTCCTCCTGTACTTTCTTTGAGATATGGTTCAGAGAGCCTTCACCCAGTAGCTTCTGGAAGCAGATGCAGACATCCACAGGCAAGCACTGGGCCAAGCTCTGTGCTGAGCAGGGGAAGGGAAGCTGGGGAAGGGGTGTTGGTGTGGAGATCACAACTGGGAAACCCACAGAGACAGCTGAATTGGGCTCTGACAGCTAGGGAGCTTGCATGGGACCTAAGCCCTGCAGGATGTGTAGCTTGGTCTGTCTGTGGGTCTCCTGGCAGTGGATTCAGGACCTGGCCCTGGTGATTGAGCTGGGTTTGGGGAACCTGTTCCCCAGCTGGGTTGCCTCACCTAGCCTTGATGCAGGGGGAGGGTCTGGGTCCAGCCTCAAGTTGATGCCAGGCTTTGTTCTAGCTCATGGGAGGCCTGCACCTTTCTCAAGGGAGACTAAGGAAGAACGGATGCTGGGGGTGGGGTAGGGTCAGAGGGGAGAACAGAAGGAGAGGAGGAAAGGAAAAATGCCACGGGGATGGAAAATAAGTGAAAAGATTTAATTAATAAATAAAAAAGAGAAAAACCCCTCTGTGCTGATAGGTTGTTTCACGCACTGAAATCTCTTCCATTGTTTAGTATTCTTAAGACAATTTAGGGTGAAATTTTTGCCTAGATGACAGCAAATGCTGTTACTCACAGGAACTAGCTAAGAATATCTAGAAAATGGTTCGATGTATTAGTCATAATAAACAGATAATAAAGATGATTTAAAGCATTTCAAATAAAGGAATTTTAATAATATAAAGTTGCTTCAAGGCACAGATGTAAAGAGCATTCTCTATAAATCAGAAAATAATGATATCAAATAACTCAGAAGAAATGAATATTGGATTGTATAGAATACTTTCCATTGGGCTGTGTGATAATAACATTAATTAGTTTGCATGCATTCTAATAGTAATATATTGAATTTAATAACTTTATTTGCATATAACATTCACATATCAAAGAACCAGGATCATAAAATATCATTCCAAGAGTGTGATAAATGATATGATTTTTTGTCCATGAAACAGACTATTTAGCCAGGTTGGATAGAAGCTTTTAGAAGACCCTATATTCCTGTTAAATCTCTTTGTTCTTGTGGTAACACAGATACTGTTTTATATAAAGTTACAAGTAACTTAAAATCTACTTTAGATTTTTGTTTTAGGTCTTGAAAAAGGGAAACCTGTTCCAATATAGCATAGCTTTGTGAAAGGTTGATTGTTCCTGCCTTGTATTGGTTGTTTTTTCAGATCTGGGTATAGTTTGAAGGTTTGGAACAGCTCATTGATCTATGCAGAGACTCCAGTGTGTGTAGAACCGGTACCTTAACAGCAAACCAGGCTTTCATAGAGGATTTTGTCATAGGTGTCCATACCATTGTGTACTTGGATAAATAAATGCAAATCTCTTTTCCTAGATAACATAGCTAACTGCCTGGATAGAAACCTAGAGAACATTTTCAAACCTTGAGGGTATTTTTAGTTTGTCATAGGACTCCAGGTAAATTCACCTTGGGTTGCATTCCTTTGGTACTGGTCGAATCTAGAGCCTCTACTTGGGGATCCTTCTGAAAGAAGGCATGGGGATGCCCTTGCAGCCACTGGCGCTCTCAGAGTAGACAGGGGAACCCCCGCATTACTCAGCCACACAGGAAAGACCGCAGAGTGTTTCTATTTTAAGCTCTTGCAATAGCAGTCTCTCCTACAGATCTACAGATTCAAGGGTTCTTTACTAAAAGCGTCATTGTCTCTAGATGTCTAGCATCTCCTTTTTGAGTCTGGGCTGTTGCTCCTTTCCACCTCGCTTTCTCCTGTCTTCTCAGTTCTGCAGAGCCCTAGGTCAGAGTGGAAAAGCCATCTTCAGTACTCTGTGAATACACCAGAGAAAGCGCAGAGTCGTTCTCAGCATTAAGGCCATGGACTTTCTCTTCACTATGTGGGACCCTTAACAATGAAAGGTGTTGCCAAAATGCATCCTGCTTATTCACAGCCTGCCCACTCACAAGATGGAAGAAGAATGGGTTCTCCCGTTAGCTTCTGCAATGTGCTGCAGCCCTTGTCCTGAATAGTAGGGGCCTGCCTTCCTTTTTATTGGCAAAGATCAAAGAGATACTCTATACACTGCCTGCTTTAGCTACCCATCACCAAGAAAAGCAATTTCTATTGTTCCTCTGCTTCTTCACTTCTGCCACTGACCTTATCATAGGAAATGCCCACCTGCAAAACAATCGTGACAAAAAAGAAGCTGTCATCTAAGCAATTTCCTATCTCATTGTTAATTCTAGTTTAATCCTGGTGGATAGATATGGTCAAAAGGGAATTCGTCTGATATTTTGTTGATCAAACATCAAAAAGACTCTCCTAACTTATAGTTCTGGCTCTGGATAATTTGGTCAGGCTGTGCTCCAAAGAGCAGCTCTGCTACTGAAGAAGCTGAGGAAAAAAAGGTTTCAGTGTTATGTGGTCATCTCAGCCATGCCACATACCCTAACAGAAGTATGATTGGTTCTCCTTCTGTGCCTGCCTGAGTGGTTCACTTCACTTAACCGCAGAGAGCTGCTGACTGGCCCTGTAGGAAAATGGCCTGGGAGACTTGAGTGATAATTGCTATGGGATGTTAGTTGAAGGTACCTTCTCCAAGGCTTGGAAGGCATGCTTCTTACTTTTCATAGTCAATCAGGTTCATGATTAATTTGATGTATTGTACCAATAAAGGGTTAATAATACAGCACTGATTAATGAAAGAAAGCCCAGACTTGTCATGTCATGAAGAATGCTAGGAAAACTATAATAAGGACTGAAGGTGTAGGCTTCTTATGAAATTCAAGCCACAGAACATTTTAGATGAGAACAGAGCACTTTCTTGGAATCGAATTCACTTACAAGTAGGTGTGACTTTACTGGGTAGTCTAAAACTCTAATGATACTCTGAAGAAGGTCTCTAAGTTTTAGGAGACAACTGAAGGCTACAGCAAAAGCTTATATTCTTTTGGGGACTTTTTGAGTCTCCGACCAACAACCTGAAAGGGGGTTTCTGATAAGTAAGGTGGGATTTTTATTAGCTATTCTATAGTTTATGGGGAAATAAAAGCACCCTCTTGGGGTGATAGCATTTACCTGAAAGTACATGATACATGATAATGTTTTCTAATGGCTTTTCAATCATCACAGTGGTATTTATTCCTCCTCCCTACCTCTCTCTTTATATTTCCCTCGCTCCTTTTCCAAGTTCCCTGCTCCTGATTTTCCCTGTCCCCTCTTCATAGTACCTGTGTCCTACTGTCCACTTCCAGAGTTCCTAATCTCCCTCTTACCCCACAATCATCTTTTCCTAGTTACTCAGATTATACACTCCAACCTAAAGATTTGGAGCTGGAATCCACAGACAGAAGAAAGCATGTGGCCTTTGTTTTTCTGGATCCGCATTATGTCACTCAAAATACTACGTTCTAGTTCTATCCACCCACGGAAAGAAGACCAGCCTTTGTTAATGGCCCAAGTGCTGAGCCACCCAGAACTCTGAACAGTGACTCCTGCTCCTTCCTCTTCTTCCACTTCTCTGGGATGCCGTATCCATAGTCTCACTCAGCCATCACGTCACGTGTCCGCCTAAACTAGTGCTTCAAAGTCACACCAACAAGCCTTCGTCTACTGAGCTTTGCTAGACTGATTTCACTTCATTCTTACCCTGACATGGTCTTGTCCATTCCACAACAGCCTTTCCATTGTATCATCCACTATTATATTTTTCTCTTTAGATTTTCAAGTACAGCAAAGCAATTTTTAATCTTCAGAAGAGATTACTGATGATACAACGAAATGTTTCTAATAAATGTACATTAGTCCATTTACTAAACTACCTGAAGTGGTTTGAACTAACAGTGTCACTCACAGGGTCATACAATTGGACACTTGCTGCCCACTTTGGTCTTATAAGGACCATAAGCTTGCATGAACCCTTTCTTTCTTAAGTTGCTTTTGGTCATGGTATTTTATTAATGAAATAGGAAATTAA